CCTGCAGGTGAGTGGAGCACAGCACTGTGTGTGTGTGTGCTCCTGTCCCAGCCCTGCTCACCTCTGCAGGAGCCCCCCTCCACCTCTCCCACGTGCTCCTGGTGTCAGCACAGGGATTTTTTTCCTTATAAAAATCTTGTATTTCCCAGTTCAGACCTAGCATCAGCAGCTAATAAAGATGAAGAGATAATTCAGCTTTTCTGCCTCATCACTGCTCTCCAGGAGCTGCTCTGCTGTAAGACCCAGAGACTTCTTTGTTTTCCTTCTGAATTTCAGGCATCAGTGATTTATATTGGGTCCAAATCAATACTCCACAGGTGAGAGCTCTGCTTTCCCCAATTTATTCAGCAATCCAGGCTCAGCTTGGCTTTGGAATGGAGATTTTCAGTCAGAAAAACAACTGAACCAGCTGTTCCTTGGGCAAATGTGTTATACACAGACAGTCTCCTTAAATTAGCTGAGTCTCACTGCACTGCTGCATTTTGGGTTGTGTTGTCTTCATTTCTCTTCCTGCAGCAAATCTGGTTGAGAGAAGGGGGAAAATAATATGGAAATCTGCTTAGTTGTTAAGTTTTGGGTGTTTCTGAGCAGTGCTCCTCAAAATTGCTCTGAAACTTGAAGGCATTTTATGAACAGAAAATAAGAATTTTCCTGAAGAGAATGGTGTGCAGCTTAAGGAAATGCCAAAATACCATTTCAAATGCGTTAAAACTTTTCATGTTTTCAGGTGAGTGTGACCATATTTTCTTGATTTAATAACTCCTGCAAAAGTTGCCCTTCCTGTCTTTGAGAGCTCTTAAATTGTTGGTCCTGCAGGAGGATGAGCCCAAACTCTGAACTGCCTAGGGCTGGAAGCAGTGCTTTAACCAGTCCTTTTTTCCTTCCAAATCCAGTGAAATACCCTCATAATCTTCATAAAACAAAGTTTTTGTGGCTGGCAAAACAATTAATTTCAAAATGTTCCCGTTCCCTCGTGCTTGATGATCACATCTGCTTATTTTTCCCTCTGAAATTCTCAAGCTGTCTCCTACCTGGATAACAACCAACAAGAAGCTCTGCCTTGTAGCTCCTTCCAGAATCCCTCACTCTCCAAGCCCCTGTTAGCTCTGAAATATTAAAATAATCCCATCTGCTGTTGTTTTTTGCATTGTCTGCCACCCTTCCTTCCTTCCTGCTGCCTTCCTCCCAGATCCTGCCCCTTCCAGAGGTTTCTTGGGATGATGCAGCAGTGAAAACTCCAATCCTTGGGGCTTTGGCATCTGAGCCTCTGTGCTTTGGGGAAGGGGAGGGAAATGGGGCTCATCTGGGATGTGGGGTGGTTGTTCCCTGCAGCTCTGAGCATCTCTGTGCTGCCTTTTCCTCCCGTGCTGGAAGGACCCTGCTGCCTAAGGGACAGAAAAACCTGACAAATATTTCTTTCTCTCTTGTTTTCCACTCTCTCATAAAAACTTTATAGTCTTTTAGTGCTCCTTCCAGCTAAATGTGGTCCAGGCTGCTGTATCCTGCAGGAAGGATCAGAAATTTGATTTTCAGTTAGAAAAGCAATGTTGTGTTGAGATGTTTGATTTTTTTTTGTGTGTGTGTGTGATTTTTCAGTTAGGACAGCAATGTTAGGAAGTGTTCTCTAGTTGGGATATTTGATTTCCTGTGATTTTCAGTTAGAACAGCAATGTTAGGATATGTTCTCTAGTTGGGATGTTTGCTGTTCTAACTGAAAATCACAAAAATTTAATGTTAGGATGTGTTCTCTAGTTGGGATATTTGATTTTTTTTTTGGTGATTTTCAGTTAGAACAGCAATGTTGGGATGTGTTCTCTAGTTGGGATATTTGATTTTCTGTGATTTTCAGTTAGAACAGCAATGTTAGGAAGTGTTCTCTAGTTGGGATGTTTGCTGTTCTAACTGAAAATCACAAAAATTTAATGTTAGGACATGTTCTCTAGTTGGGATATTTGATTTTTTTTTTGGTGATTTTCAGTTAGAACAGCAATGTTAGGACATGCTCTCTAGTTGGGATATTTGTGATTTTTAGTTAGAACAGCAATGTTAGGAAGTGTTCTCTAGCTGGGATATTTGATTTTCTGTGATTTTCAGTTAGAACAGCAATGTTGGGAAGCGTTCTCTAGTTGGGATATTTGTGATTTTCAGTTAGAACAGCAATGTTAGGATGTGTTCTCTAGTTGGGATATTTGATTTTTTTTGGTGATTTTCAGTTAGAACAGCAATGTTATGACATGTTCTCTAGTTGGGATATTTGATTTTTTTTTTTTTTTTGTGATTTTCAGTTAGAACAGCAATGTTGGGATGTTTGGGGACTTGGGACAGGGGACATTTCCACCAGGGTGAATGGAAGACTGGCATTACTGGTGAGGTTTAATGACCTGTTCCACATTAAGAGTTTGGTAGAAACCATTTCTCAGCCTGGGATGGGACTGTGGGGTTTTATTGGCAAGAGCTTTCCTCTGCTCTGTCTCTTCCTATTTATTTATTTTTATAGCTGCAGACCTCCAAGTTAGCTGCTGTTTGAGAGGATTTGTTTTAATATTGCTTATCTGATGATGATGAAGGAATCCAGTGTTTATAGCATCAGCTTTGACCTCCATGTTAGTTCAGCTGGGCAGCCAGATAAATGATGAAGGAATTCCTCAGCAAGCTCCCCCTGTTATTTAAAATTAACTCTTTGAGGAGCTCTTCTAAAGCTGATGCGTTCTTTTTAAAAGAAATGGCTTTGGAGGAAATTTTAGCTTCTTTATCTACACTGAAAGGCTGTTGAGGTTTGGATTTTGGCTTGGTTTTAGCAGCAAATTTGTTTCTATGTCTGGAATTTAGTCCTGTGACATTTAGCAAATAGATGAGGAGTGAAATGAGCGTTGTAAAACAAAACTGAAGTGTGGGAACTCTGGGATTGGGTCTGTAAAGGGCAAAGAATCATAAAAGGGTTTGGGTCCAGCACAGCTTTGATAAAAGTTGGTTTGCTCTGAAATTCATTAATGGTAAAACACTGTCATGAGTTGATGTAATTAGATCATTTTATTTCCTTTTGTTTTGTTCTCTGATAAATCTCAGATGCCTGTACAAACAGAAAGCCTAAACCATTGATCTTCTGAATGATTTCCTCTGTGTGTTTTTGCAAACACAAATTATCCTTTAAAAAAGAGGATTTCTATCCAAAAGACTTCCAGAAGAAGAAGTTGCTGTTACACTGGGCTGGGTGACACCACATATCCCTGAGTTATAATTTTATATTGTGGTCATTTTGCTGATCAAACAGCAAAGTTTAAGAGAACTCAGTGTCAGCAGGAAAAAGAAAACTCCAAATAAAAACCCCTTAGTTTGTAACAAGGAGCTCTTGGCTGTTGTGTGCAGAACAGACTCAAAGAGGTTTTTAATATTCTGTAGCTCAAGGACTTGGCTCCTCTTCAAGCATTCCCAGCTCCACAAGGATGGGGAACTTGGCAAGTGACTGTGCCCCTCTAGGGGCAGAAATGTGGGAATTGCTTCTGCAGGTAAATTCAGAGCAGGGCAGAGGGGCTTTAACCACAGTGAGAGAGGATTCCTTCTTTTGGGATGCAGCTGCCTCAGTGTCCCAGGCTCTGCTTTCAGCCTTCTCTGCCTTGAATTGTTAAAACAGCACTGAAAATGCGCTGCTGCTTTTCTAGGGCAGCACTTGAAATCTATTTTAGAAAGTAAAATCTTTATTTTATAAAGTTACACTGGGAAAAGCTCAGCCTGTATTTGATACTTCAGCATGTGGTAGAATTCCTGAGCACCCAGGTGATCCCAAGGGAGTTTAGGGAAATAAAAATCCCTCCTGGCACTCCAGGGTTTGAATGTGGGCTCAGAGATGCTGTGGAAATCCAAAATCCGTGCTGGGTGTTGTTCTGTGGTGGTGATGGAGCCACAGGCTTGGGTGGCCGTGTTTGTTTGTCCTGGCAGTGCTCACTGAAACACCAGGCCTGCAAGAACCATTCCAGCAATTTGGGGATGTTTGAGAAGTTACAAAATCCTCCTTTCACGGGGCCCTCCTGCATTTTCACAGCTCAGGCTCAGCCTGGTGGAATTGCTCCAAGGGGCATTTTTGTGTGCTGAGCCTTGGCCATGCTGCTGCTGACATGAGACATGGGAGCACATCCTCATCCCTCCTGCCTGCCTGGGGGCTTTATCCTGGTTTAGCTGGGATTTTTGGCTTTTAGGGACGTGCTTTTATCTCAACCCCGAGTTTCAAACAAGGTGGGGCATTGATGATTTTTGTCTTTATGCAAACAAGGTGGGGCATTGATAATTTTTGTCTTTATGCAGCCAAGGTGGGCATTGATGATTTTTGTCTTTATGCAGACAAGGTGGGGCATTGATGGTTTTTGTCTTTATGCAACCAAGGTGGGCATTGATGATTTTTGTCTTTATGCAGACAAGGTGGGGCATTGATGGTTTTTGTTTTTATGAAAACAAGGTGGGGCATTGATGGTTTTTGTCTTTATGCAGACAGGGTGGGCATTGATGGTTTTTGTCTTTATGCAGACAAGGTGGGCATTGATGATTTTTGTCTGGTCCTTTAAAGCCTGAATTCCAACCTCACCTCTTGTGTGGTCAAAGAGCAGGGTCAAACTTCCCAGAGTGACCACAGCAGTGTGACATGTGCAGTGTGGAATTGCCACTGATTCCCAGAGTGACAGAGTGACCCCTGCAGTGTGAAATGTGTGCCAGCAATTCCCAGAGTGACCCCTGCAGTGTGAAATGCACAATGTGGAATTCCCACTCATTCCCAGAGTGACAGAGTGACCCTTGCAGTGTGAACTGTGCAGTGTGGAATTCCCACTCATTCCCACTCATTCCCACTCATTCCCAGAGTGACCCCTGCAGTGTTAACTGTGCAGTGTGGAATTCCCAGTCATTCCCAGAGTGACCCCTGCAGTGTGGCAGTGCCAGCAATTCCCAGAGTGACCCCTGCAGTGTGGCAGTGCCAGCGATTCCCCCTCACTTTCCCCTTCTCTCTCCTCCAGGTGCTCTTACCGAGTGTTACGATGAACTGGGCAACCGCTACCAGCTCCCTGTCTACTGCCTGGCCCCACCCATCAACATGATCGAGGAGAAGGGTGACCTGGAGACTCTGGACATCCCTGAGCCCCCTCCCAACTCGGGGCACGAGTGCCAGCTGCGCCTGCGCCTGTCCACGGGCAAGGACCTGCGGCTGCTGGTGCGCAGCATGGACACCGTGTACCACATGAAGCGGCGGCTGCACGCCGTGGAGGGAGTGGAGCCGGGCAGCCAGCGCTGGTTCTTCTCTGGGAGACCCCTGGCAGACAAAATGAAACTGGAGGAGCTGAAAATCCCAAAGGATTACGTGGTGCAAGTCATCGTGAGCCAGCCCTTAGCGAATCCCACCCCGGTGGAGAACTGAGCGCTGCTCTCGTTTGGTTCTTCTCTGCTGCGTCTCTGCTCTGGGGTTTGGTTTTGCTGCCCTCTCTTCTTTTTTGGGGTTGTCCTGCTCGTGGATGGGTTGAAAGGAATGACCAGCAAAAAAAAAAAAAAAAAAAAAATTCCATCTGTGATGGAGATCTGCAAAAATGTACAAATGTGACCTGGCCTCTGGGGTTTGCCCCATCTCGTATTGAACACGACAGCAGCGGGGCAGGGCAAAGGAAGGGAAGGGAGAAGAGGGAGGGAAGAGATTGTTCTTCATTCATGCAGATATGTCATGGTCCTGGAACTGTCAGTGGTGTCCTGATCCATGAGGCTGGAGCAACAGAGAGCACTTTTATTTAAAAACCCAACTTGAGACGGAATCGATGTTTCCAGTTCGTATCAGCAGCACACACGGTTCCTGCAGGAAGGAGCCCGGTGCTCACAGGGATCCCTCGGGGTGTGCCCGGGCTCTGGTGAGGCACAGCCAGCCCTGGGCAGTGCAGCTGGGCTGGGCTGTGCTCTCTGGCAGCTCCTGGTGATGCTCAGACCCAGCATTTGTACATTCCAAGGTGGCGGTGCAGCCCCGTGCCGCTGCCCCAGGCAATAACAGCCCTGTCTGCTCTGTACTGTAATAATTCACTGCTCCAACGCTGGCTCAGCCTCAGCTCCTGCCTCGTGGGCACTGAGGCTGTGCCTGCTGAGCTCCTCCTGTCCCTCAGACCCCTGTGCTGGGTGAGTGCTGCTCTGTGATCCACACCTGTGCCAGGTGTCTGCAGTTCCTGCTGGGTGGGATGGGGTGCAGCTCCCCTCGGAGATGCTGAGGAGCAGCAGCACTCAGCTGCCAGCCCCTGGGGTGTCCCACAGCCCCTCCAGGACAGCCTGGTGGCCTCAGCAGCACAGGGCTGTGTCCCCAGCCCGTGCTGGCCCTGCAGAATGTACCAGGGGCCCTGCAGCAGGTGACAAATCCTCCTGTAGCCTCAGAGACCACATTGGGCTCGGGGGCTGCACTTTGTTCCTCCACTGGAGCTGCTCTGCACCCCTGCCTGTGCTGGAGATCAAGGCCCTGCTCTTTTAATCATCATTTTTCTGTTTGCTTGGGGTTTAAGCCATCATTGAAATCACTTCTTCCAAAGTCAAATGTGCTCTTAATATGGGAATAGCAGATTATTTTTTTTTTCCTGGTTTCTGTCTTCCCTCTGTGAATTAAGTGAAGCTGGAGGATTCCCTTGACAATTTTAAATTTCTACTCCTTCAGTAATTCCATAGAAATCAAATTTCTGGCACTCAGAAACTCCAAGGGAGTTCTTGCACCAGGGACATCCCAGCAAGTCGAAGCAGGATTTCATTGATGGCTGGGAAACAGAGCCATGTTTGCTTTGCATTTCCCACCCCACCCCACTCAACTACCGCTTGTTTTGATCCTCATTTTGTATCAAACCTGAGGGTTCCTGACAGCTCCACTGGCCCCACTTGGTCCAGGATGCCTGAAATGCAGTGGCAGAGCTGTAGGAAGGAAAACGAGTTCCCTGTTCTCATAATCACCAAAGTGACTTGCTTTGCTTTTCTTTTTTCTTCTTTTTTTTTTTTTTTTTCCTTTATTTTTAAAGGCGAAAGTGAGCTGATCAATACTAACCTAGAACAAGTTTTCTATTGTGGAGTTTTTTTTAAAGCAGATTTGATTTACTGTACTTGAGGTTTTTTGCAGCCAAATCTTTTGCATTCCAGGGGAGGGGGAAATATTTGCTACATAAACAAGTCCAAAAATCTCTCTTGGGTTTTCTCTGGGCAAAGGATGGGCTCATGCCAGGAAGACACTACTTGTCTTATAAGGCATAATTTATATGTCTGGATAAATGCTCTTTATGGTGTCATTTCCCTGCAGTCCCTCCTGGAAAAGGGGGAAAATTCTGATGGATTAAGGAGGAGCAAACCTGGAGCTGTGAACACTAAAACACCACTTTTATTTAATTTTTGTAGGATCCTTTTTTTATTATGATTTTTTTCTATTTTCATTCAGGCAATTTGTCACCAGGTGCTGGTTTTGAGATGTTGGGGCTGGGATTGCTCCTTCTTTGCCCCCTGGGAGCTGGAAAAGGCTCAGTTTTGTGGAACTGTTCCACATGATCACGGTTTATATTAATTGCTTTTATGGCAGGGAGGAAAGGTGATGCTCTGAAGGCCCTGTGGTGAGTGGGTTCTGAGTAGAACAGAGATTTTGTTCATGAAAATTCTCTTTAACAGCCTCCCCCTCCTTAATCACATATCAAAACCTGAAATAATTGAATGGTGAAATGCTTTTAGAGGTGACAGTGAAGAGTTTGACCCTCTCTGTATAAAGTGGCAGCACTACTGAGCACACACCCTGCAGAAACACAATTTTACAGGATTTCTATTAGGAAAGAACTTTAAAATCTCAAAATATCTGTTAAAAATATCAGCAACAAGCTGTAAAGGCACATGGCTGACAGGGCCACGTATAGAACTGGAAATTGTGACACAACAGAGAACAGTTGTGTTTCAGATGATAGAGTTTGCCCTAAAAGTTGGGTTTTGGTGCAGATTCCAGTGCAGGGGGGAAGGCTGAGAGTGTGGGGTGAGTTCTGGGGCAGAGGGGGAAATTTATTTGAGTGTGGCTGAAGTGGCACTGATCAGAGACTGATCAGAGACTCTCCTGTGGGGCCTGGTGGCTGCTGGGGAGAGGATGGAGAACCCCAGGGGAGGATGGAGAATCCCAGGGGGGGATGGAGAGCCCCAGGAGGGGATGGAGAATCCCAGGGGAGGATGGGGAATCCCAGGGGAGGATGGAGAGCCCCAGGTGGGGATGGAGAACCCCAGGGGAGGATGGGGAATCCCAGGGGAGGATGGGGAATCGCAGGGGAGGATGGGGAATCCCAGGAGGGGATGGAGAACCCCAGGGGAGGATGGGGAATCCCAGGGGAGGATGGAGAATCACAGGAGGGGATGGAGAATCCCAGGGGAGGATGGGGAATCCCAGGAGAGGATGGAGAATCCCAGGAGGGGATGGAGAATCACAGGGGAGGATGGAGAATCCCAGGAGGGGATGGAGAACCCCAGGAGGGGATGGAGAATCCCAGGGGAGGATGGAGAACCCCAGGAGGGGATTGAGAATCCCAGGAGGGGATGGAGAATCCCAGGGGAGAATGGAGAATCCCAGGAAGGGATGGAGAACCCCTGGAGGGGATGGAGAAACCCTGGAGGGGATGGGGAACCCCAGGAGAGGATGGAGAATCCCAGGAGGGGATTGAGAATCCCAGGGGAGGATGGAGAACCCCAGGAGGGGATGGGGAACCCCAGGGGAGGATGGGGAATCCCAGGGGAGGATGGGGAATCCCAGGAGGGGATGGAGAATCACAGGAGGGGATGGAGAATCCCAGGAGAGGATGGAGAATCCCAGGGAAGGTTGGAGAGCCCCGGGAAAGGATGGAGAGCCCCAGGAGAGGATGGAGAGCCCCTGGCTTGCAGCAGGAGGGTGCTGGCAGCGTGTCCTGGCTGGGTTTTGGCCCCTGGGGTGCTGTCCCCACCCTCAGGCCCTGGCGTGTAAATGCTGGGACAGAATTTTGACGCACACAACACGAGCGAGGAGGAATCAGTTTGGGACTTTTAAATTCCCCCTCTCAGCCCTCTGTGCCATTCCTGCTCAGCTCTGGCTGGGAGCTGATGCCAGGAGAAGCTTTTTTACCCTGTCAGTGACAGCTCTGTTTGACACAGCTCAGATTTTTCTACTCTTTCTTGTCACTTCTGCCCGAGCCAGGAGTAACAACCCAGTGAAAGTCACACTCCTGACGAGCTTGAAGGGCAGAGAGGCACAAAGCCCTGAGCCTGCCAGGGCCAGGGAGCCCCAAAAACGCCCCAGGTGTGCTGCAGGTCCACTTGGGGCACTGCAGAAGGATGCTCAGGGTCTTCTTCCCCACCCCAGTGACAGCTGCTCCTTCAGATGTGGTTTTGGGGTCCCCCACACAGAACACAGCTCGGGATCCATTTTCTGAAAGCCTTTGCTTCTCTGGAGCTGGGGAGTAGTTTGGAAAATGAATTGGTGGTGTGATGAGTTGGGTTTTTAACAGACACCTTAGATTTGGGGTGAAACAACACCAAAAAAAAAACCTCAGCCCAGGAGCAACCAAACCAACCCCAGCTTTTCTTTGCCTTCCACAGAAAGTTTGGGAAGGAAAGAGGGAATCTTTGGAGCAACTGTGCATAATGTTTGGTGAAGGTCAATGATAACTTGATAAAATATTGCTGTAGTGTGATGTGCTTCTGCATATATATCCATTGCTAGTAAATAATGTAAAATCTTTTTTTTTTTTTTTTTTTGGAAAGTATTAAAACTACAAAACTACTCTTTGTTACAATGGTGGGATGCTTTTAGCCATGGAGTTCTGGAAGCATTTTTGCTGTGTAGGTGTTGACAAAGTGAATGCTGAACGTTTCTCCATGTCTGTGATGCTTCAGAAATGGAAGGGGCATTTCTGGCTCCGGAGCTCTCTTTTCCAAACTTTTCCATGTTCCTGTACAGACATCTGAGACCCTGCACCTTATGCAGAGAATGTTTACATTCTAAAAAAAAAGGAATTTTTCTTTTTTTTTGGCTTTTTTCCCTGTGCTGCTCAGATCCTGTTACTTTGAAATGAAAGTAGTCTCTGTTAGAAAAAGGGGCTTTTTTTTTAATTTTTTAATTTTTTTTTTTTTTTGCCTTTGCCCTTCCCTGTTATCAAATCCCTCCTGGATTGTGGCTGGAAGCTCTGGGACAGCTTGGACTTTTCTGGAGTGGGATTAGAGGTGCTTGAGAAAGGTGTTTTTTAAAAAAACCCTGCCTTGGCTGTGGGGATGAGCTTTGTCCACGCTGGAAAGCAGCAAACCCTGCTCCAAAGCCCTGGGTGTGTGGCTGCCTTGCAGATCCCCTGGGAAGCCTCGGGGTTGGAATTCCCAAATTCCCAGCATCCACATTTGTGTTTCCTCCCCCATGATGAATGTCCT